CACCTCAAAATTGATAGGACAAAATATCGTCTAACCCTAACGTACTTCTTCCTTATAGTGATTAGATTTTTAGTGACCTCAGCCACCTCACCACCCGTCGGAAGAAATTCCATCCACTTCTTTCTGTTAGTGTTCAGCTTTTCAGTGACCTCCGCCACCTCATTATCCGTCGGAAGAAATTTCATCCATTTCTTCCTTTTAGTGTTCAGCTTATTAGTGACTTCAACCACCTCATTATTCGCCGGAAGAAATTTCATCAACTTCTTCCTTTTACTGTTCAGCTTTTTAGTGACTTCAACCACCTCATTATTCGTCGGAAGAAATTTCATCAACTTCTTCCTTTTAGTGTTCAGCTTTTTAGTGACTTCAACCACCTCATTATTCGTCGGAAGAAATTTCATCCACTTCTTCTTTTTAGTGTTCAGCTTTTTAGTGACTTCAACCACCTCATTATTCGTCGGAAGAAATTTCATCAACTTCTTCCTTTTAGTGTTCAGCTTTTTAGTGACTTCAACCACCTCATTATTCGTCGGAAGAAATTTCATCAACTTCTTCCTTTTAGTGTTCAGCTTTTTAGTGACTTCAACCACCTCATTATTCGTCGGAAGAAATTTCATCAACTTCTTCCTTTTAGTGTTCAGCTTTTTAGTGACTTCAACCACCTCATTATTCGTCGGAAGAAATTTCATCAACTTCTTCCTTTTAGTGTTCAGCTTTTTAGTGACTTCAACCACCTCATTATTCGTCGGAAGAAATTTCATCAACTTCTTCCTTTTAGTGTTCAGCTTTTTAGTGACTTCAACCAGTGACTTCGACCACCTCATTATTCGTCGGAAAAAATTTCATCCACTTCTTCCTTTTAGTGTTCAGCTTTTTAGTGACGTCAATCACCTTATTATTCGTCGGAAAAAATTTCATCCACTTCTTCCTTTTAGTGTTCAGCTTTTTAGTGACTTCAACCACCTCATTATTCGTCGGAAGAAATTTCATCCACTTCTTCTTTTTAGTGTTCAGCTTTTTAGTGACTTCAACCACCTCATTATTCGTCGGAAGAAATTTCATCCACTTCTTCCTTTTAGTGTTCAGCTTTTTAGTGACTTCAACCACCTCATTATTCGTCGGAAAATATTTCATCCACCTCTTCCTTTTAGTGTTCAGCTTTTTAGTGACTTCAGCCACCTAACTACCCGTCGGAAGAAATTTCATCCACTTCTTCCTTTTAGTGTTCAGCTTTTTAGTGACTTTAACCACCTCATTATTCGTCGGAAGAAATTTCATCCACTTCTTCTTTTTAGTGTTCAGCTTTTTAGTGACTTCAACCACCTCATTATTCGTCGGAAGCAATTTCATCCACTTCTTCCTTTTAGTGTTCAGCTTTTTAGTGACTTCAACCACCTCATTATTCGTCGGAAAATATTTCATCCACCTCTTCCTTTTAGTGTTCAGCTTTTTAGTGACTTCAGCCACCTAACTACCCGTCGGAAGAAATTTCATCCACTTCTTTCTTTTAGTGTTTAGCCTTTTAGTGTTTTTTAATTTTTCACCTTTGGGAACACTTCAACTTCCGTTTTCCCTCCACTTCATCCGTTTCTTCTTCAGCCTTTTAGTGTTGTCCTGATCCGATCCTGTTTGTTGAAAACCCTGCCGGAGTCCTGTTTTTCGGAGTCCTGAATCCTGTTTGTGCTCAACACTACTAACTAGCCTAGATGGGTGGAGGCTAACTCGCCATGAGGGCTAACTCGCCATGGACCACTCGCCATGCGACGGCGGTTAACGGGTTAGCCTGCAACTGTGTGGAGGCTCTTCTTGTAATGGGAAATGGAAAGGTGGCTGTTTATACTAACAAATAGTAAGGATAAATATATTAAATTAAATGTGTTTGGTTACAATACCTACTGTGCAAATGGTAACAAAGTGACAAGAAAACGTGCTTATATGTCGGAAGGCATACCGGTACCGTACGGTACTCGACGCGCAAAGGATGTCTCAACTTATCATTTTCATCTAAGCATGCTAAATATATCATCATATTAATTGATTGTATGAGCACTGAATCAACAACAACGCTAAATATATCAAAAGTTCTATTTTGCTACCGGCAGTCTCATTTTATTCTAACAGCCGTTGATTGCGATCGTCAATTATAAAGAATAAAGACATGGCGAGTTAGCCCTCTCTCGAACTCGCGATGTCGATCGTCAATTATAAAGAAAATAGACATGGCGAGTTAGCTCTCTCTCTCCCTCTCTGATCGCAATCAACGGCTGTTAGAATAAAATGAGACTGCCGGTAGCAAAATAGAACTTCTGATATATTTAGCGTTGTTGTTGATTCAGTGCTCATACAATCAATTAATATGATGATATATTTAGCATGCTTAGATGAAAATGATAAGTTGAGACATCCTTTGCGCGTCGAGTACCGTACGGTACCGGTAAGCCTTCCGACATATAAGCACGTTTTCTTGTCACTTTGTTACCATTTGCACAGGCGGTATTGTAACCAAACACATTTAATTCAATATATTTATCCTTACTATTGAAGTTGTTAGTATAAACAGCCACTTTTCCATCTACCATTACAAGAAGAGCCTCCGCACAGTTGCAGGCTAACCCGTTTACCGCCGTCGCATGGCGAGTGGTCCATGGCGAGTTAGCCCTCATGGCGAGTTAGCCGTCAGCCGGTTAGATCAATGACATGGTTAGATTGTATACTGTTGATTTAGTGCTCACACGACCAATTAATATAGTGATATATTTAGCATGCTTAGATGAAAATGATAGGTTGAGACATCCTTTGCGTGTCGGGTACCGGTACCGTACGGTACCGGTATATGAGCACGTTTTCCTGTCACTTTGTTATCCCTTGCACAGTATTCTAACCAAACACATTTAATTTAATATATTTATCCTCGCTATTGAAGTTGTAAGTGAAACAGCCACCTTTCCATCTCCCATTACAATAAGAGTCTTCGTGCAGTTGCAGGCATACCCGTTAACCGCATTGAGGTGGTTAACCGCCGTCGCATGGCGAGTGGTCCATGGCAAGGAGGGCCATTATAGAATTAAGCCATCATACAGTTTTTCCTCTCATCGAGGCTACTATCAGTAGCAACAACAGGAGGGAAAATTGAAAATCCCAACTTATCGAAAGTACGGTCAGAAGGTACAGTACCGGTAGAACCAACATCGATGCAGGGAGAAGCGAATCAACGCTCAGACATGAACGCCACCTTGTGCTTATTGTTCTCGGCAATTTAACACGGCGCCTTATGAGAAGTTCCAACACAATTATTGAAACATACCTAATATTTTCACTAATAGTTTAGGTAGAAAAATTTTGAAGGTCGCGTTTTGAAGTAGAATCTTGGCCGAACATGGTTATATCCTTTCATGTTGGCCAAATTACATTTATAGTACATTAAATTGTTTGTGAAGACAAGTTATACCGGTTCCGAGTTGCTTCCGAAGTAAATTAGCCATTCTAATCGTCATAATTAACCATTTGACAATGGCGTTCCTTATGACGTCACAGATGAAAAGTTGTATTTATTTGTCGAAATTACCGGCCAACCCAACTTTGCTTCAATGGCCGTTTCTATTTTCTGATTAACATACTTCGTCTGTCAAGCTCAATAATGCCCTACTGCTCAGCTCCAAGCTGCGCTAGAAGAACAAATGATATTGTAGGATTGTTGCGGAGACATTTTACAGCCTCAAATTGGCGTATCACTCTCAAATCTTAAAAAAAATGACCAAAAATGGTTCTACGCTTTGTTTGTGGTCAAATTTAACACATTAGATAGTTTTTTGTTCCTAATTGCGTTATATATTTAGATAGCATATATCTTGAAGTTCAAAATCCACCCTTCGGTTTCATTCTAGCCTTTATAACAGCGGACTTATTCGATTCGGTACAAACACACGACGAAAATTTCCCATAAGACTCCATTGTTTCGCGTTCCCCAAATATGGCACAAGATGGCGTCTATGAACTTGCATACCATTAGGCAAGTTGTTAGCCGGCCGTTGGGGAGAACAACAACAAGAAACAAACATTATTACGACGTGCTATCTAGTGGATGTTTGCCGAGGTCATGCCTTCCAAAGTGAAGACATTAGGGTATACTGTGGTGTAGGTCATAGGATTTGCGATCCACGGCCTCTCGCACTTACCATTCCATGCCTGGTATGGCATTAGCTAGTTTTTTTTTCAGAAGCATGGACTTGGTGACGGAGAAAGCCCTAACCGACCCGCGCTTAGCAGGATTATCCACACCGCCGCACCACTGTGATGCCTTCGGCGTATTTCCATGAACGCAAATGACGCATTGAATTCAATTCGTTTATTACACCTTATCTCATCTCCTTATAAACAGACACAGATTTTTTCTATTAAGTGCTTCAAATGAGGGAATGTTCTAAAATACTATTTTGTGACAGACACTCTCAGATCTATAAATGCACCGTTTACTCACTTTACATATACTGTATGTAGAAATGAGAGTTTACCGATCTAATCAGTTTTTTAAAGGAAGATATGTAAAGCCTTTGGGTATTTTGAAATTGATTCCCGAGAAATGCCGTGGTATTTTTCGGTATCTTTTCTCGTGTTTGGATTTGTAATGTCGCTTTATATTATATTATTTCGTGACAGATATTACTTGAAAACACACCAGATACTGTGGTTAAACGTTTCTGTTGGTGGGAAAATAGGTTTCCTCACAGTTCACCTCGGTCACGTTTTTACACTCATTGAATGATGAATTGTTATATTTGACTAATTTTGTTACTTGTACTCTGCTCGATAACCTTACTGGTTTATCGCGTCTACTTTCACACTAAAATTCATTTGTATATCTTTTCAAGTTTGTTTGAGTTGGGACTCTGAACCCAGTAAAAAAAAAACTAGACCGTCTGACGTTAAGTCAGCTCTGCGGTTCGTTACTGATGTCACATGGCCAACGCTTGAAAAGAGAGGAGTGTTTTTACCGAAAATAAAGGCACATAACGTCTCTCCAAATGAGGAGTTACTTGACGCGAGATTAAGGTACAATATTTAGTTAAAAAACGCGACCCAACTTGGTCCACAAAACAATCCATTCTCCTTTGTACCGATCACAGGTAGTCATTCCCATATTGGCACTGTCGTGGCGTTTATAAATACAACATTGAATTTTCGTGTTTCCAACCAACATGAATCCCGACATCGGGATTAGGAAAAGGGCTATTTCCAGTTGATATAGTTTAAAAATAATTCAAAAATATTCTGCCAATAAATACAAATAGCTGCCAATGATTTAGTGCATGCTAAAATTGTTCTGCGGGCCGTGGTTTGAACCACCCTGAGTTAGAGTATCCAAGCCAAACGTCTTACTCCGAATACATGAGAAAACAGATTTTTAGAATTGTAGAAGATGTCATGTTCAAGTTAGGTAAATTAGTGAATACAATTTGCTTGCTGCTTACTAAGATTTGTGATGGTGTCATAAGTGTTTGTGGGTACAATGCGAGCCCTCGTATATCAAGAAATCGATGACTGAAATGCGGAACGACATTCTAGATCACTTTTTGGGCCAAATAATTCATCTTGCAACTCACCATCCAATTTTTGAATAGAATTAAAAAATGAAACACTCTAGCGACGCCGCTACCATGGAGGTTTTTTAGCTATGATATAATAGTGCTTAAAACTTGGTATTTTATTTGTTATCATTAAGCCGCCCAAAGTACGCCAGAATATAAATAATTTATTAAATCAAATTACACGCATCTGAAGAATCTTTAAGCATGGATGTTTTCCGAAAATGGATTACTTTGTTTATTTCCCTAACACTATGCAATCAGCAATAAATCTACGATGACGTAATGATGGTAATTTATAAAGTCCCCCAGACAGATATTCAAACATGGTCAATCAAACATTGGCTCGTTTTCGTGTTATTAGTTAGTTCAGCTGTGTTTCTATAAAATTAGTCGTAATTTAATTGTCATTATGTCTTCCTGAGAGCTTTAGTTTAGTCGCAGTAATCAAAAATTTGCGAGTGCAGTTGCAAGTATTTTGTGGCGTCTAGAACTGCCGCAAAATCATGGCGGGATTTCCAAACCACACAATTTCACTTCTTGTTTAGCAACATCATACACCAAACCGATCACCCCAGAATCGTTGACATATGAGGAACAGTTCTTTGCAAACATCGGAAAAATAAAATCGGATCCGCCATAACTTATTTTTTGTCCAGAAAAATAGTATCCTGTAATAGTGCCTTGATATTCCCGTTGTATAACTTATTTCTTCGTATTTCGTGATTGTACTGTAATTCTTTTATGGCAGTTTATCTCTGTTTAGAAGAACCTTTGCAATTGACCAGCATAAAGTAGCGATTATGGTCAATGATATATTGATGTATATTTTCACACTGACACAAAGTGGAATACTCCAGGCAGTATTGATAACTATTCCCAGAAAGTGCAATAGCACTTGTATGGTAAACCCAGTGTCCTTATCTGGCGAATGAGCTGCCGTTACCACTGCAAATAAATGAATAAGTCGTTAAATTTACACCCTTTGTTTATTTGTTGAACACCAAGAGAGACATAACTATGTATCGATTTGCTAAATTCTAGCAGCGTGGAAAACCGTTTTCTTCGCTACTGACTTATTAGTCGATTGCGAAAGTTCATGTTAAGGGTTTTGAATGCGACCGGTCAGTAGTATAAATATGAAGTTGTACTCACAGAATGAGATGTTACGTCTGATGCCATGTGTAATTCCAAAAGTAACCGACAAAATGTATGAAACGAATTTAGTAGAAACTGTTGGTCTCCATAACAACGAACAAGTATAGTTGATCAAATCGTAAACCAATCCCACAGTGAATATAACTGGTAAACCTATAGTCTTCGAATTTTTCGAAATAACTAGAGATGTTGCGAATGACATTATATCAACAATAGCAGTACATATTCCAACCTTAAATTGATGCGTAACAGGTTATTTATTCAGTCACTATCAAATTTGTAGTACCACTTTGCATTAAATATGTGCACGTCAAAACTTATTTTATCACACATTGATGTTCAAAAAGTTATGTAAAACGGTCTTTCTTCAAAATTTGGCTGCGTTCGATAACAAATTGTTGCGTCTTACAAAAAATTGGTAACCATTTCAATTTTGACATCATTTACGTTGTGTCGTAATATTTTATTAGTCAATGTTCTACATATTTTCATGCCGAACGGCGTCTCATTTCAAGAAATTTGAAGTAAAATATGCCACAAACCTTATCGACTCCAACAACGCAAGACACAAATGCCCTGTTATGTTCCGTCCAAATATACGCTATTGTTATACCGAATAGCAACTTCACAGGCCAAGTCAAAAGTTCTTGCAAAGACGTGGCATATTTGAATCTTTTTTTGATACTGGATAATAAATCGCTACTTTCATCCGTTAACAATGGCTGTGTCATCGATGGAATGTTCTCTACTGAAAAACAAAACGAAATCCGCGCTGCCGTATAATTAATTTACAAGCAGATTTTGATTTACATCAGTTTTATTATATTACGTTACTGCACGTTGCTTACTTATTTGCGTAAGTAAACCTCGGATGAATTTTTCTGAGATTTTCTCTCCGGGAAAATTTCAAATACAAACATACAAGAACTTTGTATATTTACACACTAATTTTTCGACTTGTTTTCGTAATCATTAAATCTAGTGCTAAAGTAAAAGGTTGCAGTTTTGAATCTTTCCTCTTCTGAAGTTAAAGCTTGACGACGATCGGTTTGGACAAAGCAACAAAACTCAAATATTATTTGAACAATATACCTTTTTAGCAACCCTTTCTATGGCCATGATTAATTTAAAATACCTTGTTCAGTCGCATAGCTTGTGCCTTTAATAAAAAAGTAATGAATGGCAGCTCCAACAATATGCATCAAGACATGGACAACAAGTAGAACCTGTAGCAATGTTTGATCCGGTATCAGCACGGAAAATTTGCCAGACGTCTTACGAAATGAGTACTCAATCTAAAAAATTGTTTAAATCAATGCCACGTTCAGGTGTAAATCTGGAAAATTGTCAATAGCCACACTGAACTATAAAAACCAACCCTTTTGTTACGCGTTGAAAAAGGCTGTGCAAGTTTTTACACTGTTGTTTACAATAAGAACTAAAATCTACAATATAATAATATGATAATACGCAATTACTAAAAAAGCATTGATATATATTTGCCTAGATGAAGACAACAACTCTGTGATTTTGTCGACAAAGTGAAAAATGTCAACAGCAAACGCAACGAATAATAAATCTCAAATGGGAGTTTAAAACAATTGACAAGGCGTATTACAGCATTATAATACATTCGTGTATTCGGAGAACATGGGTCATTCCATCGAAACACCTAAAAAATTTGAGACTACTCACCGGACAATCCCTCGCCCCGCATGTCAACAGGTGGTCAGACGTTATATTATACGGAAGAAAAGTACTGCTGTGATTTGAGCCCCCATCAACAAAGTTACCAATGTATCGTGCAATGTTATTCCAGTCAAGTATCATTTGCGTCACAATATTTGTGAATACCTGGTGTATAAGCAACCCGAAATGTTAAAATACCTTTTTCTTTTGGCTGTGAAACTGCACAGAAAGATGGTGGATAAAATTTTGAAAGCATTATTCTCACATTTGCGGAAAATCTTTTAACTGATCAGAATTTTAATTACATAAGAATTTCTAATTATTTGTAATAGTAATATTGATAATCATCCAAATTCTGTCGTTATACCTAACTTTTACAATGACCTACTTGTGCCAGAGACAATATCGCAAGAAACATCCCAAAGTACTTTTGTGAAGAAGAATCTACGTCTTGATGCATATCAGCATTGGATGCAATACTTTGAATTATCACGGAACATCCAACCCAAGCACAGGACATTCCTATGCCAGCAAAGAATGCCGTAGAATACATTGTGTACCAAACTGAACAAAACAACATACTGTATATACTAATCCTTATTATTGAACGGTTATAAATTCACTGACGAACGACATAACGCGACCTAAATTCTCGATTTATACGCAGGCTGCAAGCAAGGTTTGTTCGAGTCCCGGTAGAAGACATTTAATAAGTTGATTTATAATCAAAGAAAGCTTTGCACATATCGGCTAAAACATTGAATTCGGTTGCAATGGTCGAGAATTTGACAGCACTAGTATTTATTTTATTAAATCCATGTTTTATTCAATGCCGTATCCACCTAAAAATTTGATCGATGACTGAAAATTTAAAACGACTGCTGTTGAATTGAGATACATGTACGCTTTTATTTAAGTAAAAATCTGAGTCTTAATCATTTCCAATTTTAAATTATTTTAATGGAACATTTTACGAATAAAACTTTTGCGACCTTTTCTAAACAGCACCCATGACTGCCATACCTTAGATACGCCACTGGACGCACTGGTTGCATTTAAATCAAACAATCCAATGTGAGAAGAAGAAGGCCAAGTTATGATAAACGCAAAACCTTCGATTCATAGCTCAAAACTAAGTTTTTTTCAACACAAGCCTTCAGGTTTTTGCGCCAACTTATCAGGCTTTCGATATTTACCGCGTGGGTTTGTGAAAAGACCGCTGATTACAGATGCTAAATGATAGGGTGAAACGACCGCTGATTACAGATGCTAAATGATAGGGTACACAAGATAGATTAAAAATGACCAGTATAATTTTTATTTTTACTGAACATGGCGAATAATACCGCCTCATACCTGACATTGGTATGATCCATTGGTAATTTGATCAACACTCATCTGTAATTAAGCACGAAGTGTACATATTGGATGGATCATATCAATCTCAGGTATGATGCATCAACATTCACCATTTTCATGTTCATTAAAAATATATCGTTTTGTTATTATTATTATGTTGTTGTTGCTGGTATTTTTCTTCTTATCGTTATGAAAAAAATCGTTAGGGTTAGGGTTAAATACTCATTAAATACTGGTCCACGATTATCTATTTATCCCGAAGGAGAGGAAAACGCTTATACGGCTCAATCATGTGGCGAACCACGTTCTCATGTCCGGTTACCAGTTCATGTCGGGTTTGATATTAGTTAGCCAGTTATTTGTTTCGGAAGCATGGACTTGATGATGGAGGAAGCCGTAACTGACCAGCGGTTACGTGAACCACCCTACGACGAGGGGGAGTCCAGTAATTCTCCCGCACATAAACACTCCACACGGGATTCGAACCTGCGAACCTATTCAGAGCAATTAGAGATGCTCTTCTTAACTCTTGGCACAATAAAATTTTCAGTGATTAAAGATTGTAGTTTTCGCCAGAAGGCTATTACTTTTATTTATCTCAAAACTTTCTGTGGGCTCTAGCGATTCATTTTTCACTTTCAAATTTTGTGTGATGACCTCTTCAAAATTGATGAAAATCATTTGTAGCGGTTCTGTGACCACTATGGTTCTACGCGGAAGTCGGAAGTTTTATGACCGTTCCGAACAGCAGATTAAATAAGTTACTGCATAAGGTAAGATAGACTACTGCTTCCCTTTGGCCCCTTTATCCTTATATTTCAGCATCGATTCAAGTTCTGATATCAATTTAGAAATAGAAGGTAGCCAGCAGCTCTCCGATATCATATAACCTACCTGGATAAAAATTTGCCAAAGTTACGAAAATATTGAGTATTACTCCAATAATCAGAGCAACTTTCGGTCCATATCTTTGGAGTACAACAGGTACGACAATCAAGCTTCCAATGATTGCAGCTGTGGTTTTGACAAGAAGAGAGTTTGTGCCGATTCCACCTTTAACGTTCATGCTGCTCTGTAAAGCCGCCAGACCTGAATAATATTTTTATTATATAATATGTAGAAAATGTAGATGAATCACCATATATACTTCACAACCGTTTCGAAATTTACAAACTGTCAATATTATTATTTCTCACTCACCGTTATCTGCTCCAATGGCGATGGCAAACCCTAATGCACATGGATAAAAGTTTCGTTCACTTCCAAATTCATTTTTACCGGAGTTGTTTATCTTCATTTTGTATTTGAGTGGAAAACCTTCTTAAGCTGGTGATGTAATGTATAATTGACTACATTTAGCCGAGAAAAAGAAAGAAATATATACAAATTTGGGGTACTAACGAAGTATGTGAACCAAGATGGCGGAACGTAGTTTGTGTATCAGGTCATGGTTGGGCCATAATTTTATTCCAATTTTCTTTATTTTAGCTCAATTAAGAGTTCGAGGACTAGCCAAATGACTCCCGTAGTATTTTTACCTTCAATTATGGCCTAGGTGGGCAAATTACGGCCCGCGGGGCGGATCCGGCCCACTAAAGTGTTTCATCCGGCCCACTTGTTCCTGCTGAAATTATGACTATAATTTTCATGGATATAAATTTCCGTTTAAAATACGAGGAAATAGTAAATCGTCCCCTAAAGTAATTCAATTTCAGTACTTTAATCCAATTATTCTGTCTCCCATCACTTGCTAATCTTCCAATGTTATTACTGTATACCCTGCTGCAAATACCTATTGCTTTACATCAGTTAATTTGAATTTATCGAATAACGTCAGAATGACCCTAATTGTTACATTGTTCTGCTCATTATATAAGCGTAAGCCAAGTTATTGAACTTCTTTTTCTATCATCTTTCTTTGCGCAGCTTCCGTAATTTGGCATCCTCTGTGATGAATCTGTTGGCATGCGTAAAAAACGCAAAGTGGATTCCAAATGTCCTGTTTTAACGAGGAATTGACACAGAAGTATTTTTTCATGGACAGTGGTCAATCAAAAGATGCCTGCTTAATTTGTATTGGAACATGTGCAACTAACAAGAAATTCTGTTGAATACGGCAAATACATTCAAATGTTTCTCAATCGCTTAAGACGAGAGCACAGATTTCTCAATCCCATATGACGATGGAACGGTCGCTGATGAATTAGGCTACAGGTGGAACTCATAGATCTCCAAGATGACAATTATTTAAAAAGCAGTTTTGAAAAGAAGTCATTGATTGAGTTTTATCAATAAACACATAAACAACAATGCAAGCAAACCGTCTAATGAATGAAGATCAACAAAAGCAAAAACAGATCTCTTCTGACGAATTAAAATCTACAATCAGTCTTACGAATCAGCACAAGCAGTTTTGAGCCTGAAGTAAACTAGCTTTTGGACGCATGTACTAGGCTGCATCAGTCCCATTAATCATTTTGTCTAGTTATTTGCAAGTTTTAAATTATATTGAGTTTTGAGTAGGGTCGCTATTTTGGGACCAGATTTGAAATTGCGAGGTCGGGATTTTCAACATCTACTATACGGGATGAAAGAAATTACAAAACACACAAACTGTGATGTATGTTTTTTTTTGAAAAACATAAGATCACCGAGAGTGTCATCGTTAAGACGATTCCTGATTTTGTTGGCAGAAAAGTACTTAAAATTGAACGCTCAGCCTCAACTGACATAGATTTGATTGATTTTAGTGCGTCATACAACCTTTCCATTTTCTCTGGCCTCTACATGCATTCCGCTTGTTTCATATAGCAGCATTTCTTTCTCGAGAACTGTTCGTCATCCATAACACACTTTCGGTACTCTTCGTTTACATTGCGTGCAATGAAAGCATGAAGCGCTTGCCCCAACGTCATTTGCGTGTCCCCGTCGTGGCTGATATCTTTATTTTCCCATTAAATTGACTCCGGGATCGGGATTGGAGAAAAAAGCCAAAATTCCCGAGATTGCAAAACTATTGAGCATCCGGCCTAGTAACCAAGTCTATTATCTGTATCCGGCCCACCCAGAAAAGTAATTGCCCACCCCTGGGCCCTAACCCTAACCTGGTATGCATACTACGATCCGATGTCCGCCATATTGGTTCACATACTTTGGGAGTATACCCAAACATGAGTAACACAGGCTTACTAACAAAAGAACGATCAATAAGATTTATTAATGAGGAGTTTAAGATTTCTCTGTCAACACGGAGAACTACCGTATTTAATTTAATTTGGCACCGATGCGTTTTAGTGTTAACAAATATAATACACAAACAAAAAAGTCTGTGTAATTGCCGTCTCGTAAACTTTGTAACAGCACAACATCGTATTTAAACCTTTTCTATAGTGAACTGCAGTGCGTATCGCAATGGAATACAAACACTTTAGCAGAGATGCTGCAATGATAGCATTGATTTTCGAATCATAGCGATTTTTATAAATTCCATCAGTAGAATTGGCATATTGTAAGTTGGTTTTAATTTGTCTGGCGCATAGACCTAAATTATTATGAGCACCTCATACTTTCATGCAATACAACACCATATTTTAACAGACCTCACTTGTTCTTCACTAAGGCTATAGAAACACGCGAACGTTAGTGCAAGAATGGTGACCGTACATTTGAACCCACGTACATTTGAGCCCATACATTTGCACCCGTATATCCGCGAGTTCATGAGGGTACTAAAATCCATGGGTTAGGGTCAGTATGGGTTCAAATATCCGTAAAAAAACAAATTTCCATAGGCGCAATAGTATGCAGGTGCAATTTTCGTGGGTTCAAATTATGGGTTCAAATGTACGTGGGTTCAAATGTAATTGAATCTGAAAGAAAAAGTACAAGTTAACTGGCTGGCAGTCGTATGCAGTTCTGACTTAAAAGTCTAACCCGCTGACGGTATAGCTAATATTCCAAGTATCTACACCCGCCGCTATATTTAACCAGCCGTAATGGCTTTATAAATCAGTATCGATATTTGAAAAATATTCCGTTACCGTAACCATGCAACAATAAATGTTCACCTGTCATATATGACAATGTACATACCAACGTACGTTACTTATCGATTTATTTTACAGAAGAGGAAATAGAACTACGCATCATTTCCTCCAACTTCATTATGAAGCAATTATGTCCTCATCATCATTAAATATAGTTATAGAACTTCATTGCAGATACGCTTCACTGATCTAATATCATGAATGTATTTTTTTTGTGTGAAATATAAACAAATCCATGGATCAAAAGTCTGGAAACTCTTTTCAGATGTTCACCGGAATGCAAATTCCAAACGACGAGTCAAAAGCACGGGAAAGACAGAATCATAGAAAAAAGAGATCTTGTATACGCATCATGTATTTCAAACATAAATTGATTCCTGATGTCAGGTTCAAACTTTATACAACACCGATCCTCTATATGTTCAAACTCTATACAACACCATCCCCTATTGCAATGAATTATGTAGGCAAAGTCGACCCGACTAGCTTGCGGTTTTATATACTGGGCAAGGGGTTGCTGTTTCGGTGTCAGCTACACAAAACGTGTACTTTCAATCAAGGCAGTATAATCGTAAATATATACTACTACTAGATGTCCAACTCCGCTCGCCGTATAATAAACAAACAAAGGCGATGTTGAACCTCCAAGTGGCGGGCGTCACGGTTGGTTTTGTTCAGACTAGATGCCTCGCGACGACGACGCTCCTGCATCACAGCTCGAAAACTGGCTCTGTTTATTGATGACTGATCGAAATATTTGCTGAAGGACGGAGAAATTCGATAAAAATGAACAAATAATTGTGAAAACGAAGACACAGTCTGTCTTGCAAATGACCAGGATGATGTGACAACTTCCTTGTCGAAAGAAAGCAAGGCATCAAAAATGCAATGCATTGCAAAAAATGTCAGTCAGATGTAGGTAAAGTGGTGACGAAAATGAATACTTTGCACTTTATATAAAAAAAAAAAACGCTCAGTAGCACAGCATTTTGGTCTCACTCCATCTCAAATATTGTAGCTTCCACAGAAGTATTTTTTCCACTTGACCTATAATCAGGGCTGCCACAACGTCCTTATTTTTAAAATTTGTCCTTACTTTGAAGGTCTTTGTTTTAGGAAATGTTTTTGTCCTTATTTCTAAGAAACATCTTTATTTTGACGCGTGTCCTTATTTTTAACCTTATAAATGAATACACTGGTAAATTAAACTTTGAATTTAGTTTAGATCTGGAACTTCATAAGAGATAAAATGAGTAAACGTAAAAAATTTGCTGTGATGATTATGAGAAAAAATTTAACGGCGTCGAACGAAACGAAGGGCCAGTGATTTGCGCACTGCAGCTTTTGTTAATGTGACAACAATCTGGAATGCATAGGTAGAGCAGCACTGTCTGTTAATAATGCAACCCAGAAACACAAGGCTCTGCTCAAGAAATTAATCAAACCAATCTATAAATAACTTTTTTAAGAGTCGATGATTATACAAAGGCTATCTCAACACATGCAAGCAGCTGAAATTTATTTCCATCATCACATCATTGAACATCCGACACTTGATATGAAAGAAAAATATTTTCAAGTAATTCATGAGCGAATACCTATTAAACAATGTAACCGAATGTCAAGATGTAACAACACTACTTGAGAAAGTATTCAAAAAATTTGAGCAAATGTATACGCAAAGTACTGCAGCCAAAATAATAACAACAAGATGGACAATAGGACTCATGGAATACGAAACCAATTGAAGAAACCCAGCAGCTATAACGAAGATTAAGATGTATGTGATTACAGTCAAGTTTCCGTATTCCTGAGGTATGCGTACCAAGAAAGGAGGACACCGGAACGTAGTATGTATACCACGTTAGGGTTAGGCCAAAATGTCCTTATTTTAGTTCTATTACGAGTTCAGGGACTAACCAAGTGAGTTTCATACTATTTGTACCTAAAAGTATGGCCTAACCTGGTACACATACTATGTTCCCTTGTCCGTCATCTTGGTACACGTATTTCTGGAGTACCAAAGTTTTTTTCTCAATAATCCATAGCAATACAAATTACTATTTTAATTACTAATGTGAATAAACACTGAATATCAAGTTATATTGATGTTTTTTAAGGCTTTGAAATCTTTAATTGACAAATTAGACCAAAACACCTAGCAGGTCTGATCGCAAATGTTAGTTTATAATAGTCCCGATGGTCTAACTCTAAAAAGTGTTTCACGCCACGAAAAATTTATATGTATGATATAGTAGAACAATTTAGAAGACTTTTATCTCACACTTAAAGGACA